TTCAAATAGTTTCCTTAGATAACACTGCTTTTTCTCAAACAAGACAAATGAAATGCTAAAGACCCAGAGAGGAGGTATCAAGTGTTACTTATGTAAAATCTTTATAACTGCCAGTTTTTATTGGGAGCTCAGCACCCTCCAGGCACCAGGGCATTCTGCTTATACTACTGTATTTAATCTTCCTGGCAAATTTTAGAAGCGAAAAGAATTGAAGTCTTACTACTAAAGGCTAATGATTTTGTCTATATAAATTGTTCTTCAGTAAGAGATGGGTTATATATACTGTTTTATTAAGCAGATGGCTTAAAAATTAAAACATATATTTTTTTTCAGAAATTAAACACACACCAACCTGTTTTTCAGTCTTAAAATCATACCTTCCCTAGAACCAAAAGGTAACTGAACATTCATTAGGTACCATATAAGAAATGAGAGACTTGTTTTTACAGTGTGCTAAATACTGTATGAAACCAGAAATATAATTTTTTGAGCCCAAAGTTATTATCTCAGTTCAGATTTACTAAGAACACTGTATCACACAAACAAACTAGCATATGAAATCTGCAAACCACCAAAAACAGAAACACCGAGAAAGGGTGTTTTTAGAAAAATTGACATTTAATCACTAAAAGGAATAATGGAGTGAGGGTTGAGGAGAGCAGGCTATGCATGCTTGCTCTAGGTTATAAAAAAACAGCATCATGTGGGCTGTGCCTTGCCCTGAGTGACTCTGTTTTATGCAACAGTCTTTGCCCCATTTCGGGTGAAAGTGCTGATGCAGAATGACTATCTGGTTTGTGCAGGTAAACAACTACCATCTGTACAACACAAACCACGGCACAGACCAGTAGCTAGCTTTCTCATGCCAAGTGCAACATTACCTAAAAACTTAGCAAAGGAAAATGTGGACGTGGGAGCATGCCAAAGCTAAATCAGAAAACCAGTTCCAGTAACACATCACACATAGCAGACAAATGAAGGCTGAAACCCCCTACATATAAGAGAAAGGAAACCTCACACTGGATGAATGGCACCCACCTGACCTAAAGCCATCAGGAGCATAGTATTAACCTGCAGTAAACTTGTGACTCTGTCCCTAAGAGGCAAGTTAGTACACTTGTCTGACACACTTGAATTGGTTTCAATATGAACTTGGACCTACACCTTGAATCAGTTCTGTCTTGAACAGGATCAACATGCACAAAACTCAGGTCCAGGTGGATCAGAGACCTCTATATAAATCCATCCACACTGAACCTCATAGAAGAGAAAATGGGAAATACATTTGAATGCATAGGCACTGGAGACAACTTCCTAAATAGAACACCAGTAGCACAAACACTGAGAGCAACAATGAATAAATGGGACCTCCTGAAACGGAGAAGCTTCTGTAAAGCTTCTGTTCTTCTGCAAAAAACAAGGTCAATAAGACAAACAGCTCCCTACAGAATGGGAAAAAATCTTCACCATCCCCACATTTGACAGAAGGCTGGTCTCCAAAATATACAAAGAACCCAAGAAACTAGACATCAAACTACCAAATAATTCAATTTAAAAATGTGGTTCAGATCTAAACAGAATTCTCAACAGAAAGATCTCAAACGGCAGAAAGGCACTTAAGAACAATACTCAACATTATATGGAAAAATAAAAAACCCAGGATAGCCAAAACAACTCTTTACAATAAAGGATCTTCTGGAGGCATCACCATCCCTGACTTCAAGCTCTACTATAGAGCCATAGTTCTGAAAACAGCTTGGTATTGGCACAAAAATAGATAGATAGACCAATGGAATCGAATTGAAAACCCTGATATTGACCCACGCACCTACGAATACCTTATTTTTGACAAAGGTGCTAAATCTATACAATGGAAAAAAGATAGCATCTTCAACAAATGGTGCTGG